CATCATTACATTTTGGCTGTTTGAAAGGGTTTATTATTACATTTTATGCTCAGCCTGTTTTAGCTGTAAAGTTTTTGATAAATTCTAAAACATTCAGAATATGTTGGTTAATTTTAGTGAGATGAAGTTTTTTGGGTTTTTTTTTGCAGGGAGTCAGGGAAGATGTCTTGAATTTTTGAGGCTTGGTTCAGATTTGGAAGGTAGCACTGCAGTGTGCTGTGCTAGGTGCTGGGAACAGCTCTGCCCTCTGTGTTGTCTGAGTGTCAGCTCTTCTGTCTTTCTCACCTGAAAGTCTGATTGTTGGTGTCAGTGGTGGAAGTGACCAGTAACTTGGTTGGATACTGCCTTCAAAACAGAGAAACTGGCTAGGAAATGGGGAAAGAAATCACCCCTAATTTGTGAGTTAGAAAGACATTGAGTAGGCCTATAAAAATTCAAGAGCAGAAGAAGGAGTTATGGCCAGTCTTTCACAGAGAGTTTGTAATTTAGCAGACCAGGTAAGTGGGATATGCTAAGTGCATAGACAGGTTAGGTGCCAAATTCCCCTTTAATCTCACGGGAATGCAATAATTCCCACTGAATATTTACCTGATTTTAAAATCAGTGTCTGGGTTCCTAGAAGTAGTTTGTTCTAATGGGTAAATTTATTGCCTCGTTTGTTAAGTAAACCAGTTAAATGCTTTGATGAATTTACATGCTCTGCTAAATGCACAGAAGAAGTAAGCAATGCTCTTAAGGTGGCAGTTCTTACAAAACAATATTAAAATGCTCCTTTATGCACTTCAATTGAATTCAGATTGCCTAACAAATACAAGAGTTTCTTACCATCTCTTAATATAATTGAATTAAAAAAAATTGAACATCTGAATAAATGTATAGTCAGCAACATAATTGTATTATTACAGTAAATATTTGTAGATGCAGTGAATCCTCATGGTTGGGAGAGTACCAGATGCTGAGATAAGAATAGCAATCAGCATGTTTTAATCTTTACACCACTAAGTAGGAATAAACTTTTTCTTAGCAAAATAGCTCAAAATTACAAATGCAGAGCAGGTTTAAAACTGGTCTATTTAAACCAAGTTTTACTGGCTGCTGGTGCCAACTGTAATTAAAGTCAGACTTTAAGTACTAGACTGAGCTCTAAAGGTAGGAGTTTCAGAAAGTGGTGGTTTGGGAGTACAGGTGCTACTCAAGCCAGCAGAATGTGTATGGAGCAGTGATGAGACAGCCCTTTGCAGGTGGGAACATCTTGATTCCCTGTCTGTCCACCAGCTGTTACTGAAATAGTTAATGGACTTTTGGCCTTTTTAATGATCAGGTCACATCTTTGTGCACACTGTTGTTTTTGAAGTTGTGCTCTATAGTCTGTCTCAGATGCTGAGTACCTTAAATTTGGGTTTGCTCCAATGCTATTCTCGTATTGCTTATAAAAAGTTGCAGTACAGATGGAGCTGTTGCTGTATGGTTGAGACAGAAGAAATTGTCCTGTGTTATCTCCCAGATGTCTGTGCTTGCATTCTCTTTGGACAGGGAAAGCAGGGTCATTGCTCACTTTGCTCTCCTGTCCCTGGGGTGAGGTCATCTAATTCAGTCAGAGGGAGGTACAGAGTCTAATAGCTTGGATGAGTGTTTGGGGATAGCACAAAGACAGGAGGAGCAGAGCCACAGAATTGCAATAGAACAGAAAAGGAAGGTGAATTGTACAGCTAAGCTTGGTTTCTCAGCAACTTCATGTCCCAAAACTCTTGGGTTTGGTTTCATTCTTTTCTTGAAGTTCTGAAGATTCTCAGTGCCATGTGCAGTCAGCAGGAGCTGTGAGGGCCTCAGCACCTCTGAAAGATGGGCACAACTTTGTGGGTTTTGTTGACATTAGAGCAAATCCAGTATTTTGCAATCCTAGAATTTCTTTATGTCTGGGTGGACTCTGTTGGAAAGAACTTGGTGCTAGAATCAAATTGCACTTTTGTTTACTTGTCAGTTACACAATCAGTTTATAAATATTTTTGGCTATCATCTGATTCTACCCCTGACACGCAAAACCTACAGCTCCTTGTGTTCTATTCTGGGGTAGGATTCTAGCTCCCTTGTAGCACCACTGGCATCTTTAAACATGCTTATCTTTGTGTTCTGCTCACCCAGTGATTCTGCTCAGTAGGTTGATGTCAGCTGCAACTTTGTGCTCCACTTTTCTTGCTGTAGCTTCTTACAGACCTTCCCAGTCTATGAGGTGCTAGAGGTTTGCAGCTGCAGAGCTTAATAGGCCTTCTGTTTGATCTCCTCAGCCTAAAGCTGGCTGGGTGCTGCTGAAAATTTTTCTTTTAGTTTTGTTCTTTGGTGGCTGTTTATCCTAGTAGCAGGTTAAACTCTTGTGGAGTCTCTGTGGTGCAACTTGTTAATGTATTGTCAAAATATTCTGCTTTCATAGCCTGTAGTGTGTGGTTAAAAAAATACCTGCTCACTGAAATTTGTCTGATTTGAGCAGCTTTAACATCAGAACCTAAAATTTTCCAAGGAGTTTATAGTGGTGTGATTTTGTAAAAGATCTCTACAATGTTGTTCTGCTCATCTGTGTCTTTGCACTGAGTGGAAATTTCCTTTGGGGAAGTTGCATAAAATAAT